TGGTGACTCCAACCTTAATCTTGGAAGTGAGAGTGCTTACCATCAGAGCAACACCCTCTTGTCACCTTGGCCATTCTCAATGTCTTGCAACCCCTCACTTGTGGATTTTTAGAATATCTTTCTTTGAATTGAAAGAATTTCTAATCTGAGGAAAATTATGCAGCTATGCAGTGGAATGGATGAAAATGCTGTTGGAACTTGCGCCGAACTCGTGTTTGCTCCTATTGATGCCTCGTTTGCTGATGATGCACCATTGCTTCCGTCTGGGTTTCGCATTATTTCACTTGAGTCTGGAAAGGTTAGGGTTTCGTATCCACCTATTAGTGCTTATTCTTTTAGGTATTTGTTCATTTGGTTTGTTATCCTCAATGTTTTTACCAATATGCTTCGTTTGTGCAGGAAGCGTCCAGTCCAAATCGTACCCTTGATCTTACTTCTGCTCTTGAGACTGGCCCAGCGGAAAACAAAGCGGCCAATGACCTTCACACTAGTGGTGGCTCATCAAGATCTGTCATGACAATTGCTTTTCAATTTGCTTTTGAAAGCCACATGCAAGAGAGTGTTGCTTCAATGGCTCGACAATATGTCCGAAGCATTATTTCATCTGTTCAAAGAGTTGCGTTAGCACTTTCACCATCTCACTTGGGTTCTCATGGAGGTCTTCGTTTGCCATTGGGGACTCCTGAAGCACATACATTAGCTCGTTGGATCTGCCAAAGTTACAGGTATGTGGTATTATACTTGTGTGTGGGCCTAACATAGGAGCACACTAAGTAATTATTTTCAGTTTTTCATCCAGTCAACTGTTGCGCTTTTCCAATACCAAGTTCTAAATGAAATACATATTGGCTACATAAGTTGATCTAAATGTATAATGTTTAGATTAACACGAGTGTAATTTTCCAGAAATTGGTTCATCAAAAGAAATGATTAACACTCTAGAAATAGCTCAATCCTCTTTTTTCGTAAGCAATTTTTTATATGGGACGTTACTAGGAGGGAAATCAATGGGTGTTTATCTGCATGTAATTATGTTCTGAGTTTAACACCAGTCTCTGTTGTGGTTAATTTTTTTGTTCTCTTAAGGTGCTTTTTGGGCGTGGAGCTTCTGAAATCAAATACTGATCAAGGAAGTGAATCAATCCTCAAAAGCCTATGGCATCACTCAGATGCTATTATCTGCTGCTCTGCTAAGGTTTGTTCCCAAATCCTCTTTTAATATTCTTTTGCTTGTTCAAAGCACTCTAATTGCATCCCTCTTACCTTTTAGTTTGTTCGAGTACATGAAATTTTGAGTTCAATATTTCTGCAGGCTTTGCCAGTTTTCACATTTGCAAATCAGGCTGGTCTTGACATGCTCGAGACAACCTTGGTTGCACTTCAAGATATTACCTTGGAGAAAATATTTGATGATCATGGAAAGAAGAACCTCTGCACTGAGTTCCCACAGATAATGCAACAGGTTGGTACTCCTTTTATATGGAAAGTATTGTATGTAGCAAGTAATGATTTCCCGAATCTTATTGCACCGAGTTGCATGCCCCTTTTAGATTTGCTTGAAGACAGATTATCACGACTGCTGCAGTTTCTAATTGTAATTTATTGATTGACAGGGTTTTGCATGTCTACAAGGGGGAATTTGCTTGTCAAGCATGAGCAGACCTATTTCTTATGAGAGAGCAGTGGCATGGAAAGTTATGAATGAAGAAGATACTGCTCATTGTATCTGTTTCATGTTTGTCAACTGGTCATTTGTCTAAGTTACTTTTCTTTAGATCTGTTTTAAAAGGGATCAGTAAAACTATACCTAAGAACCCTTACATATTCTCCTTTTAGAATCATTTTGAACTAGTTGTGTTTGTTGAAAACTTGTTTATTGTTAAAATTTGTGCTACTCAGCAACTTTATGCTATGTCTTTTGAAAGCTTATGCTTCTTTAAGTCATCATATATTGTTACTCTTGCTCCCGTTGGACAAATCTGACCCCTGTCCTGTTCGCGCCTACTTATATAGGATATTTGAAGAAGTGAACATCCTTCTCAGTAGCAGAGTCCGCGAAAAAGAAGAGGGATGGTTATTTCACTTAGACAGGGTCTCTAACTACTCTCATGTAGTATATTAGCAAATTGAACATTGATGCCTCTTATTTTTCTTTGAAAAATATCATCACTTTAAAGTAAGGTTTGAGATCAATAACAGTAAATTAAACAAGATTTAATAACATTATAAAGCTACTAAACATATGAACATATATTGATCAAGTAGCTCGAATCATATACAGGATTTATAAAGTAAGAAAACTTCAAAATCCTTGCAAGGGTAAAAGAAGTTACACCAAAGTTTAGCCATAAACAGAAAATTAAGACGACTATGGTACATACGTTATTGCAGAAGGTACAACTCAAGGAAGCACGTTCTATCGATCAGGTTACTATATTAAGGTCACTCATTTGTTTAGTAATGGCAGGGATGCAACTATTAGTTCTAGCAATTCCACCACTCTTCTTTTGCATAATTCTTTCCCTTGGACTAATTGATTTTGCCCTCATAATTCCCTTTGTATTTTTCTTCAACATTTGTCTCATAGCCTCAGCTTGATTAAGTACTGGATAAGCCCTACCAAATTTGTTGAATTTGCTACAAGCACTCATATGAGTAGTTAATGCTTCTTCATTTTGTCCTCCATTTTTTTGGGCCTCTTCTTTTACTGCATCAGCACAAAGCCCACATATCCACTTACCTGAATATTTTTTTCGAATTTGATCGATGTATTCGGATGTGTAGTCATCGCTCATACCACAACACTCACATTTCGCGCTTTCTACCTCGGAGACTGGAGGGAGATTTTCATCGATTATTGCATCATTCTTCATCCACTCGTATGTAATTTCAGACATTGTCCTTTTTAGGCTGTCGTTGGAGAGTCGAGGTGATTTGCTAAGATTTCGAACGTTGGAGGTTACAATTGTCTCTCCATGAGGTGCCATTTTAAAATGAATATTGTCAAAAAAAATATGTTGTTATTGAGATTTATAATGTTGGCTAAGGATGTAAAATGATGAAGAAAATAGGTAGGTATTTATAGTAGTTGGCTACTGTTGTTGTTTTCACTTTTCAAGTTGGGAGCTGAAAAGTTACAAAGTTGTGGACCATGGGAACTTACATGTCACTTTTTACTTCTATTTTTGTATGGATAGTCTTGAATATGCTAGATTTTTCTCTGAATTTAAATTTTCATACATGGATGTAGAGTGAATTTTTATTATTTTGATCAACTAGACGTTAGATTTTACTAGATATGTTGTCGATCAACTGGGCGTACGGTACATACATTACAAATTAAAAAAGAAATGACAAATTAATACTTGTCCTCATTCCTATGTGGGTTAAAAGTTTTAAATGCATAAATATTCATGATTTACATCATGTTTACTCGATACTCTATTTTATTATCTCGTTTTTACATAACAAGTAAAAATGAATTTTACGACTTCATTATTTAAAAAGTTATGAAAATTATAACCTTTATTCTATGGTTTGTAAGTGTATGTTCCATATACAGGGACGGAAATAATTTTTTTACTTAGGAGAGTCAAATTATAAAAGAAGTAAATCTACGAAGAAGCCAAGAGTGTCAATAATATAGGAGACCCCCTCTCAAATTTATTTCCTTGTGATTTTAAGTACATGTATTCAATAATTTGTAAGTTCCATACTTCTTAATTTTAATTTTCTTCAAAATAAAAAAAAATGACTTTCTGATATAATAACTATCAATTGAATGACCATACGAGAATAAAAATCAACTCAGAAAGTATATCTTCGTCTGTATAAACAAAAAAGTTATGGAGTCTATCATTAGCCACTAGAAGAAGAAGAAGATCAACTTGGTTGACATGATCACAAGTTTGCTTATTTCGACCATTCAATACAAGTTAGTATTATTTTTTACCTACATTTTTTTCTTCCACTAGAAATAGTACGTATACAATATTATTGAACTATCAATGTCACCCTAATATTCTCGTGATACTGTAGTTATCATGTTATACATATACGTACTTATATCCTATCAATTAATGCTGGTGAAAATTGAAACTAACATGTATTTAAACCTCTACCTCTACTTTTTTTTTTTTTTGGTTAAATCAAAATGTGGTAGACTTTGGTTGTGGCTGAACTTAAATATCGATGTTTAAGTATACATACACTTAGAATTTCTCATGGTTGATATATGTCCAAAGTTGAAAAATATCTATGATCACTTGGTTTCCTTCTATTCATGTGGAGGTGAATGCAAGAAGAGCTTAAATATTACTCCCTTCGTGACATTTGACACACCCATTAAGAAAATAATGATTGATAAGATTATTTTATCATATTATTCCTGTTAATTAATGTTTAGTTCTAAGTCTTGAAAATGATTCTGGGAATAGGTAATAATTAATACAAAGGGTAAAATATGATTTTTTTAAATTCTTTTTTGATATATTAAAAGTGAAAATCTATTTTGGAATAGTGCACAAGTAAAAGTGATCAAAGAAAAATATTATCTATTGATAGCACTTGAAGATCAAGTAGTAAAAATGTCACGAAGTCATCTTATTTGGATTTCTCATGAATTAATTTAAATCAACATATGATTGAATTAGATGAATTAAAATGGCTAAATCAATCAAAATTTGCTCATGTTAACGGGATCATATTTTTATGTGCTAATTTTCGCATCCTAAAAGTAACATATCTTAATCAAAGGTAAGAGGAAGTTTCAGCAAGCCCATTAAGATTTAGAGCACGTCATATGGAATTGTTTAAGCGAGCCCATTAAGATTGAATTGGGCCTTTGTCTTAAATGCCTATAATAGTAGGAGAAAATTACACCATCAGTCACGGATTTAGGAACTTAATTAGCATAATTTTATTTTTTTATAACTATTAAAAAGAAAATAAAATATTAATATAAACTTACATCCACGAGTACAACTGTACAAGAATCTTTAATGGGCCAATCTAGATTACGAGTACAACTGTACAAGAGGATAATCTTCTTGCAGTAGTTATCTTTTCCCTCCGTCTCAAATTCACGTGACACACTTTCTTTTTATCTATCCAAAAAATTTCACATTTCTATAATTCGAAAAAACTGAACTTCTAAAATTTCTCTTTTACTCTTAATAAAATGATGAATTTAAAAAAAAGTATATGAAATTTCTTTTTTTAAAATATTGTGTTGATCAAATCAAACAGTTAAACATAAATTGAGACGAATAAAATAAAAACAAAATAGAATGTACGAATATGAACATTTGTGCTACACAGCTATTGAATCAGAGAACACGTGAAATTTGCAAGAAAAAAATCTTAAGTAGTGGGTTTCTTTTTTTCAATTATAGCAGAAAAAAAAGTGAGTCATTTAGTACAAATTAAAGTTACATAACAAGTACAGTCCAAATGCAAAGTACGTCTAATTAGGTAACTTAATTGATCAAATAAAACGCCCAGTTGAAAAATCCTTTTTGCTTTTTTCACTAATACGACTTAATTATTGCTACTATATTTAGTAATTTAATCACTTTGAAAAGTTTTAAAAGTGTATAGAGCTTCAAAAAGTGTAAACAAACGCATGAGAAGGGAAACTCCCTAAAGTTTATAATAAGCAAATTAAAATTAAATATTAAGCGCATGCTCAGCTTTTGGAGATATTTTTTGTTGTGTTATGATTTTTTTAATATTTATTTAGTTGTAAACAGCTGTATTTTTTTAATTAATTAAGAGAAAGGAATAAATGAACCCCAGTGAAACTGGAAAAAAGTAAACAGTAGAGAGTTGAAAAAGTCATGAAGATTTTGATTTTTCAAAGTTCAAACGTTCTCGATTTTGTGTATTTCAAAAGCTTTGTAGTAACATTTTAGACACTCAAAATACACTTTAATTATTTCAGATGGGAAAACTTTATACCCATTATACACTATCCTAATTTCACATTTCAAAATTTAAACTATATGAGTTACACTTGTTATATATTATTTTTCAAAAAATTCATTTGATTATCTTTAGGACATTTAGTATGATTAATTAATACTTTAAATTTTTCTCTTTCAAATAGTTATGAAATGTGTTTTGCTTTATTTTTAGTCAATTGTCTATCAGAAACATTTCTCTATTATAATGAGATAGTAATAATATTTACATACATTTTTATCTTTTTTCACTTGTCAATTACATTGTCTATGTTATTAGTATTATTGTTGTACCTTGTAATTTATTTTGACACTTTAAAATTAAAATTGACTATGTGATTATACTACTCCTGTCAATGTGATGAGAAAAAATAATTAATTACATTAACAGCTTGACAAACATATTTTTGGGACGAACGGTTTTGGGATTTTTCTTTCAACCACAACATCTCCAAAGTTGCAAGCGTTTTGTGATGCTGATTGGGCACCATGCCCTACTACCAGGAGATCAGTTACTGGTTATTTGGTGAAGTTTGATGACTCTCTAATCTCTTGGAAAGCAAAGAAACAGCCTACCATATCCAGGAGCTCTGCAGAAGCAGAGTATAGAAGCATAGCTTCCACAGTGGCTGAGATTGTTTGGGTTGTTGGTTTGTTTACAGAACTGGGGATCACTCTAACACTTCCTGTCTTTGTCCATTGTGATAGCAAGTCAGCCATACAGATTGCAGCTAACCCTGTATTTCATGAACGTACAAAACATATTGACATCGATTGTCATTTCATTCATGAGAAGATCTTACAAGGTCTCATTGAGACTGTCTATTTGTCTACCACTGAGCAGTAGGCAAATATTTTGACTAAAGGCCTTACCAATTTTCAGCATTCATACTTGGTGTCCAAGCTAGGGATGCTAAACTTGTTTGTAGCCCCTAGCTTGGGGGGGGGGGGGGGGGGGGTAAAGAAACTATAAAATAGAAAATCTACTTTCCACCAACAAAGGTGAAGATTAGAAGTTTCTCATAATTTCCTTTAACGAAAAACAACAACAAAGGATTATATAAAACAATTGTTATATTAAGATTTCAAATACACTTCTTATTATTAAATGTTACTTTAGAAGTTTTTGACTTGTAAATTACGAGGGAAAAAAACAAATTAATACACTAAGCACAATGATATATTTACATGTATGGGCATCTCATGACTTATCATATCCCTTACACTTTGTATGGATGATTGTTATGTATTGTTTCATGATGTATTGTATTGTAATATATTGTGTTGTAGTACTGTTTTGTTTTAATAAATACAGTATTTTGATAGATTGTATCGTTTTCCGTCGTTACATAATGTCACACATCAATAATTTGAATGATAAACGTACAAGAAAAGTAGGGTACATGGTAGAACTACAATGAAAAGGTAGATAAAAAGATGAAATATTATTATTAAATAATAAATAAAGACAATCTGAGAAGAAAATATTAAGGTAAGGTAACGACGCGATCACACCAAATTTACAGTATTTTCGTCGTTACCTAACAATGAATTCAAACGATACAATACAATACAATACGACGGCTAACAACCATCCAAACAAGGTGTTAGTCCTGAACGAAACATCACAGTTAGCTGTCGATGTAATATTTGTCTAATTAACTACATGAATTCCTCGTGATGAATTTTGTGCTACAACATATAGTTTAATTGATTAACGTAAAATATTTTAATTGTCAATCTCTAATATCATGTATTCTTTTTTTATGATGAATCTAAATAAAAATGAAAAATGTTCCATGAGTGTAAAACTTAATATACGGCATAGACGGTAAAATGACATCAATTCTTATTAATTTTAGAAAGTTATACATAATTTAAAGAGCAAATTATTAGGTGCATTAAAATTGTTAAGACTTGTCTTAACAGCTCAAAAGTCAAAATCATTTATCTAAAATCGAACTTTAAAAAAATCATCCAATTGAGATTATTTATATTGAATTTAAGTTGTAATTTTAGTGTAAACATTGAAATTTTCAAATCATTTATATCTAAAATCGAACTTTAAAAATATCATTCAATTGAGATTATTTATATTGAATTTAATTTGTAATTTTAGTATAAACATCGAAATTTTCATATTTAATCTAAACGGGCCAAAACAATAAAATGAAACAAAAAAAGAACAAAAATATTAAAGAATTAAACATAATTTAAGAAAGAGAAAACTTTAGAAATAGCAAATATAAGATAATTAGACATAATAAGGCTCTATAGCTAGAGTTTTGATAATTACACTCTATAGCTATAATTTTGTTTGCTATGGAAGCTGCGATTTGTATATTTCACCTCGTTTGTATTTTTCGCCTGCGAATATACAATTATGGTAAGTATATATAAATTATGTATTTATACATTTAAGAATTTTTTAGAACTTCGCTTGTCAATATACCAACAGAGTAATTTATTATGATTTTTTCATAAATTGTTATACAAATACTTAGGGCAAACAAATACAAAATTCTAAATTTATTCAATCAAGTAATGAATTATACAAATTTATAATTTATACAAATTAGACGAATAGCAAAAACTATAATCGTGAATTACATTTTTTTGAATTATAACTATAATATCTAATAATGGCTAAATATTTACTATTCCGCATAATTTGGGCTTTTAGAAATCATCATCATTATTTCCTTCCCAAAAAGATAATTTGGACCAAAAAAAAGAAGAGGGGTTTCTTGGGTTACGTAAATTAGGAAAGAGGTTCTTTCCTTTCTCTGACAGGAAAGTCCACGTGTTTTGGGAAAACCTCTCTTCCTAAGAAATCTTTTTTTTTTTTTTTCTCTAACGGCTCAAAGTTGTTATCATTATACTAACAATTTTTTAGGGTTTTGGAAACTAGACGACAATGACAAAAGACAAGTTTATTTAAATTCTTTAATTCTCTTTTTCTTCTACTTCAAAAAAATCATTTGAGATACCTTTTTAATGTGTACTTATTTATTTTAAATAAATATCATACGGAAAATATCCAACTTGTACCAACTGTACGGGTAATTTAATTAACATTAGGTTTATCTTTATTATCAACCTATTAATAAATAAATTATCATCACTTGAGATATAGTACGTGATGATAATTAATAAAACCAGATTTGTAATCCAAAAAAATGGAAGCACGTTATAAAATAACTATTGATTATATTGGTCTTCCAGAAATACTAATATATTTATTAGGATAAAAATGTATTTTGATAAACATTTATGAATCAAATGATTCAGGTAAGCACGAGCCTTTGTTTCAATATATATGGCATGGTTAGAATTAGGTTATTCAACCAAGTTTTATTTGAATATTTCAACTTGTTGATCATTGTGATGTACAGTAATTTATGTCACTCCAATTTATGCACAATTTTTTCATCTATTACAATTGGCAGATTACAAAAGAAAAGTAAGACCATTTATCTTATCATTGGATGTGCAAATTAGCTCTTCGCCTAAGAAATGCTTACCGAAGAAAAATGTTAACTACTTGAATAAGAAGATCTGAGTCTACCGTCACATTAGGAGTTCCCTCATTTCATATTATGTAAAGTACTCAAGGGCATAAGCCTTTGACACGTGAAATTTTGAAAGTCAATCAAATTTGTAATATGTGTTATAAACATTTTAAATTGTTAAGTATTATAATTTATAGTACTTTAACATAATATATGTTACTTTCTTTGTCTCACTTTATGTGACATAGGTGAAATATTGAGAGTCAATCAAAAATTTAATATGTATTTTTATAATTAATTAAAGTTATTTATTATTGTGATTTATATTTTATAGTATCACGCTCTTCATAATTTTCAGATACATCACATATTAAAACGAAAAATAAGGGAAATAAAAAACACTATATAAATAGAAGGAAATTGAACCATAAGGGTAAATAAGTTAATTGACCAACTAGCTTTAAGCTGCTCTATTATAAAAAAATAATATAAACACATAAAGAAAGTATGGGTAAATTGTAACTTTGAAAAGAAAATATGAGACCCCTTAAGTAACCTACAAAAAAGCTAGGCTAAAGGGCAAATTGGTCAACACACTATTAAGTTATATCATGTATGGGAAGCTACATCAAAGTAGCTACGTCAAACCCAAGTTCCTCTCGGCTAAAACCCGAAAATGTCCTCTTAACTCGACGCTCCTCTATTTCCCTTTTGATTAGATAGTAATAAAAAATTATCATATATTTTTTTTAATAGCTTCATAGTTTTTAAATTTTAATGATATTTCCCCATACGAAAATTAATATGTTCAAAAAGAAATCAACCATTTTCCAATTTCACCTTAATACAATACTAGTATAATCACTACTTAGAAAATCTTGTTATAAACAAAATAAGTCGGTTAAATTAAGAAGGAACGATAACATTTTTCTATTCAAAGGTATAGAAAGTGTGACAATTATAATTGGAGGAATAGAGAAACTTAATTATTAATTAACATACTTAACGACTTAAAACTCTTCTTAAACAAGTCCATGACCAACCACCACTTCCACTACTAATAATTGAGCTAATTAAATATTGAATTATATATTGTAGACCGCCTCAATGTGTCACTTTAACTTAACAATAAAGCACATAGAAATCCTGTCACAAAATTAGTACTCTCTCGTCTCATATCGCCTGTCATGTGTTGTGTTCGTAAATTACGTAAAAAAAATAAAAAAAATACTATATAGATCGTTTAAAATATTTAAATAATATAAATTTATTTAAATTTTGAAATTCGAAATGTACTATCTAAATAGGAGTAAATTTTTAATTGTTTTTACAAATTTGTCGAGGTTTCAAAAAAATGAATTACAAGGTTAAAATGATAAAAACATTATTGTATTTATCTTAATTTTGTACTCCCTACTCTCACTTTTTACTGATTTAAAAAACAATTATTTAATGTTGTGGTGAAATATGATTTTTTTTATATATATCAAAAGTGACGAGTAAAAGGTGAACGAAGGAAATAATTATAAAATAGAGATAACTATAAATAAATAAAAAGGAGTAAGAGAAATTCAAGTACTTCAGTGGGTCGTGTTCCTCTACGGAAGCACTATAAATAACCTTCATACGTTCACACTTTTTTCATTCCAACAAATCAAAAAACATTTCTTCTCTCATATAATCTCTCCTCTCTTTCAAATCTAATCACAAATTCCATCTTTCTCAATCAGAAACCAAATCATACAAATCTCGATATATAAGAATTTAGTTGAGAAGAAAAAAAATGGAGCAAAATTTGCCAGTTATAGCAAAGAAATTCTGGAATATAGTGCGAATAGCTTTCTTCATGCTGCGAAAAGGAATCTCAAAGAGAAAATTCATGCTCGATTTCAACTTACTCATGAAGCGTGGAAAAATCGCTAGCAAAGCCGCATTTCATAATCTCATGTTTCACCACGCGCACCAATTTTCTTCATCGTCTTCATCATCAGCTTCTTCTTCAACTCCCGAATCCGTGTGTGCACGCGCTCCATCCAGCGAGTACGAGTTCAGTTGCAGTAACAGCCCCGCGTACCCAGCTTTTCACCTTCCGTTCAACTTCAACAAGCGCGGCAAGCACCACGCTCATCTCTTTCCGTGTGCACACGCTCCGGCCACCGCAGACGACGATGTTGTTGTGATGAATGCTGCTGTGATGAAAGCTTTGGAAATGATTCAGAGTGCTAATGCGTCGCCGGCGAATAATCTGCCTGGATTTGGAAGGACTCCGACGGTGAGGCAGTTGAGGATTACCGATTCTCCGTTTCCGCTGAAAGATGTTGAAGAAGATAGTCAA